TAGCATGCCTGGCCATTGGAACCCTCTAGGTTATTTAATCACCTCTTAGCCCTCAGCATCAACAGTCCCAGGTAATACCATCTGTGGCAGGGCACAAGTTGTGCCTGCCACTTTAAGAGGTTCAGTCAGGCTATGGAAAAGCCAGCAGGTGCAGTCAGGGACAATTAGGCAGTCATATGACCACAAGGGGGCTATCAGATTGGATGAGGGCTGGGCAGCCAGAGTATAAGCCCAGCCAGGAAGCAGAGCCAGCAGTTACAGCTAGGGAGCCAGTGGAGTAACATAACACAGCCTGAGGAAAGCAGCTCTCGGAACAGCTGGAGGTTAGGGTAGGAACTGTGGAGATGGAGGAGGTTCCTGATGGTCCTGAGTAAGACCTGAAACTACACCTTGCTAGGGTTGGATGGTGTGATGAGACTGCCTGTAGCAGGACAGTCTCCAGGAAATGCCACACTTGTGCCTCCCTAGTGAAAGGTGAAGATGGGGCACCAGAAAGCCTCAGCCCCCACTGCCTTGTGGGTACCCCATGTAGGGGAAAGACTAGGGGAGCACACCCCAACAGAAAAGCACAGGATATATGCTGAGGGGGGCCTTAGGTGGGGTCCAGGCCCATGGAGCAGGGTCTGAGACAGGGCCAAGGCTCATCTTGTGAGACCTGAAGCCTGAGGGACAAAAGGCCGCGGAGCCCAGTGAAGGGAGAAGTGATGGCCCCATGAACTGGCCTGATCAAGACCAGGGGTCCAAGGTGATCTGAAGAGCTAAGGCTCACTGAAAGGGGTGAACCCAGCAACAGACAGCCTGGTGCCCTGACTAGCCCAACCTGGGTCCAGGGCCACATCAGCCAAAAGTCACTAATGTAGCAGGGACCACAGATGAAGGGTGAGATGAGAGAGAGAGAGTGGTGGCCCACTATGGGGCAGAGAGTGGTCTAGAGAAGGGGCCCAGATGCCAAGTCCCACAAAGTGGGAGATGGTAGGAAAAGGTATACAGGTTGCCCAGGACGTGGGCAGGTTGGTGATGGATGTGGCACGGGGGAGTTGCTCGTCTCACCATCTACAGTAAATTATGGTAGCAGGTGAACCTGACCTGACCTCAAATTTAGATTTTTCATATGCTGAGCAGATAAAGTTGAAGCATCCTGCAGTTTTGTTTTTCTAGCATCCAGTAGTGGAAATAAATATAATACTCGGTCATTACTTAGAACCACCCCTGCCCCCTGCCTTTATGGTCAGGATGTTATGGGTTACAAGAGAAGGTACAAGGGCACAAGATTTATTAGGTTGAATCAATATTGTAAATGAAGATGGTAGTAACTTTGCCTGACTCCTATTCCAGAACAAAACCAAGAATATTTAGTCCTGAATTTCATAGCTTAGTGTACCAATATAGTCTGTCTTTAGCATTGTGAAAAAAAATTGAAAAAACCCCACACACAATACATTATGTTAAAAATGTTCATATCTGTAAGAGGTTCACCTCTGTCAGTCTACAGAGCATATAGATCTTTATCTACTTATAGGTCTTTCCAAAAATGTTTAGAAATGAATAAACGGTCTATGGTTACAATAATATTTTACAGTTGGAAGGTGAAGAACAAGGCCCTCATGAGATTCATCTCTTCAATCTATGTTAAGTATTTATATAAAAAAAAAATGGCATAAATAGTAATGATACCAAACTTCTCCCTCCCAAGAATTCTCACAAAGACTTCTTGCATTCTACCTCTACGCTTTTCCAGATCCAAGCTTTAAAACATCATCCATCCATTGTTAATTCTAGTGGTTATTACTGAGGGCTGGAAAAGGCAGCTCAAGGGAAGTACTTTCTATTTAAATGCTTCTGACATATCACTTTATCTCTCAGAGGAAGGCTTTTCAGTACTTCAGTTATCATTCAATACTTTATTTTTTCTTAAATACTAGAACTAACAAACAAAAGATGCTAAAAATCAATCACATACACTACCTAATATAACCATGTGGCCATATCCTCAGTTACTATGCATTGACATAGCTCTTCAATGAGCCTGTATCAGTTTATAGCACCTGAGGATCAAGAGGTTATTTTTTTTTTGTTGCAAAATGTATCTTAATATGACAGCATTAATACACTTGGACAAAGCAGTAGGAGGGGAAAAAAGAAAAAGGAAAGGAAAATAGAAGACAATCAAACACTATGATAGACTAAGACCTGAAGGATTTTATTTCCTTAAAAGCGTAATCAGAACTAATGTCCATTTATTTCTTTTTCTTGCTTATCTCTTCTGAAAAGAGAGAAACCTAAAAATTAATTTTTCTGTTTGAAACACTGTTTTGATTCCCTGGGCTTTATCATCTATGATTAATATATCAAAAAGGCAACATATTTAAATGTAGTCTATGGAAACCGGGCACTGAAAAGACGCTGTTAATGGGATAGGAAGGAACTAGACAGCTCTGGGCTAGCCACTGACATTTGTATGTGCTACTGTAACTAACAGAGAGTATATTCTCCTTTTGAATGCACTCATGTAACTTGCAACAAAGATAAGGAGCCTCATGCCTACTAAAAGTGGTATGTAACTTAGAGGATTGATACTGGTAAATCTGTGGGACAGGACAGGAAGTCAGGTCTATGGGGGCATCTTTATACATGCTCCAGAGTTGGGGGGGGGAGGGGGAGAAAGGGAACATTTTAATTACAGTGGCTCTTGGGAGATGCTCTAATTAATTGAGGTATCTTTACACATGCTCTGCAGTTGTGTGTGTGTGGGAGGGTGCTTTAATTAGAGCTGCTCTTGGGAGTGTCTCTAATTAAAGCACCTGTAGTGTCTTGTGAATTCAGCATCCCGCACTTCAAAATGGTGGTATGGGCACTTTAACTAAATCTCATCAAATAAGCTTTAGTTAAAGTGCCCCCACCACCATCCTGAAGCATAGGAATACGGAATACACCTGATGCTGAGGCTGCTGTAGCATGCTAAGTAGCACACTTCAGCAGATGTGATTAATCGAGTCTGTTCTGAAGTTCTAATTAGAACATGTTGGAGCAGGCATCCTGCATGTGTACAGGCACTCCTGGATTCTATCTCTACCATTTGAAGAAGCATATTCTAGTTTATAAAATCAAGACACTGGAGTTGGGGGCAGAAGTTATACATAAACTGGTGTAAGTGATCAGAAAACAGTCTCAACCTATAGCAGAACAGAAGTTTAGTATACACAGGCCACTTTCCAAATGACTGAACCTCATTTAGGATAGACCTGGATGGGTGTAGTATTAGATTGAATCACTTTAGATTAGACCAGTCTATTAAATTTCTGTCCCAGATCCCCTGCCAACACAAGTTACACCTCATAGTCTCCATGGCATCCCAAGATACTATGCAGTTCCCACTAGCCTCCCCTCACAAACATGACTCACACTCCGCTACTCTAGCCCAACACTGCATCCTGTCTGCACTTGACAGTCCTGTGGAGCAGTGTGGTGGTGGGAGAAGAGGAGCTGGGGGAATACTTCTGGTCCACTTCTGGGTCTGCTGCCAAGCACATGGGGGACCCCCTACACACGCCCCCCCACCGGCTCAGTGATCAGCCACAGGGGGGACCCCAGGTGCCCCCCCAGACGCAGGAGGCACCAGTCGCGGAGCCAGGGGGTGGCAAGGGGTGTCCCCCTGCACTCTATGGCAGACCCAGAAGTGGACCAGAAGTACTTCTGGTCCACTTCCATGTCCACTGCTGAGCGCGTGGGGGACCTCCCTGGGTTCCAATCAGATGCTCCATCTGCCCCACAATCTCAGCCCTCCATAGGGTCACCCACAAGGCAGTGGAGGCTGAGGCTTTCCAGCATTCCATACTCACCTTTCAGTAGGGAGGCATAGGTATATCACTTCCTGGAGACTGCCCCATCACAGGCAGCCCCACCACACTATCCAACTCTAGCAGGATGTAGTTTTAGGTCATGTCGCAGGACCAGAAACCTCCTGCACCCCCATAGTTTCTACCCTGACCTCCAGGTGTTCTGGGAGCAGCAGTTCACTGGCTGGGCAACGTTTATCCTTCAGCTCCTGGCAGTAACTACCAGCTCAGCTCCTAGGGCTTCGGTTTAAACTGAGGTTGCCCAGCCCTCCTCCAATTAGGCGGCCTCCTGATTGTCACGTGCCCCCCTCATTGGCTCTGCTGCCTGCTTAAATGCTTAAAGTGGCAGGCACCAAAGGTGCCCTGCCACAAACTTTCTCTACTTAGTCTGGAAGTCAGAATTAGGCTCTTCTCAGCTGTTCTTCTTCCTTGTTATGAAGCCTTAATCAAGTCATTTAAACTAAATGCATTTCAATACACCTACCTGAAAAAAATGTTAATAGTATCTTCCACATAGAGGTTTGATTTAAATATTTAATACCCTTTAAATTCTAATTATGAGGTAAAATTAACTTATTCATTAGAACTGGACAGTTACAAAAACAAAAATATTTATGGACATCTGTTTTAATAAAACTGCTACTTTGCTTAAGTGAGATTTCCAATTTTTTACTCCTTTAATGTTTAAACTTTCCTAAGTGCATATTTTACTCAAAATAACATTTATTTCCATAAGGAAAAGTCTTGGAAATATTTGCATTTTCCATTAAGCATATTTACTTATTGTTTAAAGTGCTCTATGCAATGTGGAAGCACTTAAATATATTTTAAAAACAATACACACAATACTTGTGAACTACAGTAAACACTATAGTATCCTATAAAAAATTGGGCAGAAGTCTGAGATGAGTTTAATAGAAGGCATTAATAATTGCCAGACTTAGGATCTAGTAGATGAATGGCATAACTGAATTAATAAACTAAGAGAATTATATACCTTGGAAGAAATTTGAAGGAATTATATTAATAAAGGCTTTCATTTTGTTTAGTGCTATAAAATGTAGTAAAATAATCTTATATTATACTGCTTTTTTTTTCTTCTACCCTATTTGGTTTTGCTGCAAGAGTCAACTTGGAATGAGAACTAACAACCTCTCTGTTTACCTCATAGTCCAAGTCCAGGTAATCAAATTCCCCATTGGTTCTGAAATGCTGGATGTGTCTGTCCAGTGTGAGATTGATGTTCCTCCCATGACGTTCTATGACAATGGAGTGCCAGTGGTGGTCATCCAAGAGGCTGCCTGTCATCACAGAGGTGTGGCCATAAATTGAGCCATACTGGTTGCTACCTAATATAGAGTGGATGAGAAAAGCAGCAGGAGTAACTACACTAAATATAATTTAGGAAAACAACTTTTGTCCTATTCTGAAACAGGGAACATGCTGCACATCTTTGGTGTAGATATATATGTATTGGGTGCATCTACACTAGACATTTACTGTTCAGTAGACTAATTAGTTGTACAGTAACCATCTCGGCATCTATATGGGCACCCCTCTCAGGCTAGAGTAAATTAATTCACTCCATAGCAGAATAGAATAGTACTTGTGCTGCAGGGAGGGAAGGTAATACAAGTGCTATCCTGCTGTGGAGTAAAAAATTCTACAGCAGCGAATGTGTAGGTTATGCCCCAGCTGGTTGGGGCATAAGGGTGCTTCAGTGTGGGGTTTGCCTGCTAGCTAGCTTCACACTGAAGCACCCTGTGCCCCAGCCAGCCCCTCCACAGCAAACTGAGCCATGGGGAGCAGCCCTGGGCTAGCAGGCTGACCACCTGAGGCCTCTGCCAGCTGGGGCTGTTGTAACCCAGGTCAATGTGCTATGCGCCTGGGTGCACATTCAAGTGGCAATAAACTCTGGAATATATTGCTCCCAGGCGCACATTCAAACAGCACACCTGGGAGCAATAAAATCCAGAGTTTATTGCTTTGCATTAATTGCATGTGTAGACATGCCCGCTTGGTACTAACTACTTCCACAACAGTTTGTAAATTAGTTCCAGTATTAGGTTTGTGGTGCCCTGGGAATATTCCACGGTTTGAATGAAGCAAAATCCAAATTTATGGAACTGAAAATTTCTCAGCATCAAGTATCTCTGGTATTCAATTTTGAGTCTTAGAAGGCTCTTCTGAACACTGGGACCCAAAATCATTTAATTACACCCTCACTAAGCTGAAGTATGGTAGCAGCTGCATATTAAGTAAGCTGACTGAACTGGGATATATTATAAAACAGGAAATGAGTGGATTATAATTTCCATAAAAATTGTTTAAAATAGATTAGTGCTGCAGCAAGATGTTCTATCCTCATCAGCATCTGCCCACATTGCTGATTTTTCGAAAAGGGGGAGAAAAGAAAATGCTAGTGGAAATAATTGCTATTCATTGTAAATAATACATGAACAGAACAATTTGCTGTTCACATGACTGCAAGAAAAGTAATGAAAAGTTACAATGAAAATGCAGTTTTGAAGTACATTTATTTAAAGAAAAATCCCAGACCAGAGATATATTTTCTTTCTCATATGAGCTGATACAACTCAGTCTATAATGCAACTTGCTTATACAGCTAGAGGAAGAGGACAACACTTACTAACCAATATATAGACAACTCCTTAATGAGGCTACTGGACACAATCAGACCATGTTTCTGTTTTAGGCTCACTAGTTCTCAGATTCACTAACATTACCTAAATTCTTAACTTTACAACTTTGTGGGTGCATCTACATATGCAGTTAACTGCACAGTGGACTGATTAGCTTCACAGTAAAGTATCACTGACTATGTATGTGCCAGTATTAGGGCCCAGTAAACTAACTAATGCCACTGTAGGATAGTACTGTCAGGGACAATACTATCTTACAGTGGTGTACTTTGCTGCACAGAAACGCATGTGTAGATGGTGACCAGGGGCGTAAATTGCACTTGATTTGCCACAGCTCAAATTGCTGCAGTTCCAGGCATGTGTGTAGACACTGCCTGGGAGCAGTTGACTCCAGTGTAAACTGCTTCAGAGTTTGTGTTGCCTTAATTTTACGTGTAGATGCATCCTATGTTTCCTTAAATCCTGGCCTCAAATTAGGTATACATTAGATTTTTCAACAAGTACTGTACAAGAGTCAAGCTACACATTTCCATATCTCAAAGCTAATAAAAATAGTGAATCCAAGTAGAAAAAAGCTTCTCTAACGAAGCAATATTATAGTTCCAGGATTTCACACTAAGGTTAGGAATTGGGTTATTGAGACTGAGGAACTCTCCCTTTTTTCTTCTTTACAGAGAAATGTGAAAATCCTTTGGACATCCAAGATAAAAAATCTCATCGCAGTGGGATCAATGAGTGTTTTCCTTTTGATTTCAATGGAGGCCAGGATTTTCTTTTAGTTGCTTGCCAACCAAAGTCCTCACTGCCTCTCCTTGAGCTAGTCTTTCCCCAAAGCAAGCTCCTTAGCCTTCAGCTTGGCATTGACCCATGGTTTCCAAGGTCCTCATTGTTTTATCTGCAGCTCCTCATGGTATTGCTAAACTCATTTAGCTTTTTCCCTAATACCACTGATCATCTCCCTGTCTCCCACAGCCACTTGTTTCTACTGTAATTACTTTTACAAAAAATGAATCTATACAGAGCTGCCCAGAATACCTTGTACCCTGAGCCAATACAAAATTACCTTGACATTTCTGTGTACAAGAAATCTCTAGTGGCAGTGAAAATAATTTCATCCTGTTTCTGTGAGACTTTACTGTCATATTATTGATATTTCCTGTATAAAATATGAAATAATCTGTGCTCAGTTAAAAACAAAATGCAGCACAGGGGTCAACGTACATAAGTGATGATCTATTTGTATGATTCTTCATAAAATGTTGCTGCAAAAAAGGAGAAGAGGGGGAAAGAATAATGGTGTTTGACTGCAAATTTTGTACATATATTTTTTAAAAAGTCCCAATAATCAAAGCATAAAAAGCATACCTAAATTTAGGTTAAGGACGAGCTTTGCTTTTTTGAGTTCCAGGGTAATATAGTCTCCTTGTTGCCCTTCTCCATGGAAGATTACACCTTCACTCTCAGAGGTTTTGAATTTCAGAGAGATGACATCTTTCAGTGTTTTCATTTTCTTGTTCCTGAATCTGTACGGCAACACAGCATGGCCATCAAAATTGATAACATCGGCCCCTAAAAGGAAGAAGTAAATAACATTGGTGAGTGATTATACATTACTATGGCCAGTAGAAAGGCAAACATGCCATATATGGATTGCATCTCAGCAGGATAAATGTAAGAATACAATATGGATTGTAGACATATTTCCAACCTGTAATTTAATGGAAAAATGTAAAATTCAAAACCTGGCATAACATACATTTCCATGTGCCTGTTTGCCATAGGCATATAATGATTAGATTCAAAGGCACAAGGCCTTACACTTGTTCAGCTTTTCATTGGTCTTTCATGAACTCACACATGTTCACTTCCCCAAGCTGGGAGTAAGAGAAAACATTTCCCAGAGGCTCCTTATAATTTATTTTATATTATTAAGAAAATTTAATATCTGTATGAACATGGCATTGTAAAAAGTGCCTGATAGTGATAACATTGTGTAAGATGCCATCAAAAATTCTATAAATGCTAGAGGTCAACATGGTTTTGGCCATACTTTTAATATCAAAATTGTGGGGAAATTGTGGTCATAGATGGTGCAGGTGGAAAAAACTCTCTGCTGTTTGGGCTAATTTTTGTTCTGAATACTTGGTAAGCAGGGGTGTGGCTAGAAGCCAAGTTGGTTCCATGCCAGCCATGCTCACCTGCTCTGAGGAACAGAGGAGGTGGTCCAGATTGCAGGAAACTAGGGACTGTCAGGACTGCACTGGACCCGCCAGCTCCTGCCTGCCCTGAATGGATCCCCACTGCCCCACTGCCTAGATCAATCCTGCCACACCTCCACTGTCCCACTTTGGGCCCACTGCTGTCCTCCCATCCTCTCAGACCTCGCTCTGCCCCTCAAGAATTCTTCCATCTCCCCTGCCCTTGGAGAAGAAAACAGGGATGGGGAACCCACCTGCCAGCCCATAGAACAGTGTTGGCTAGGTTCCTTTTCCCCACTTGCTCCTCTGGGACAGCACTGGGGGTAGTGATCAGGAATCTGGGATGCCAAGAGGGACTGGCCTGATCTGGGATGTGGGTAGGCAAAACAGAGGGCCCAATCCAGGCTCACAGGGCAGGAGAACACCACCTACATCCACCAGCCAAGATTGGATCCACTGCACCACCCTCCTCATACCCCTGGAGCAGGCCTGCTCCTTCCCCAGAACCCAGATCCCTGCTAGTCTCCCTTGAAGTTCCCAGGGGAGCAAGCAGGGAAAGAGAACTTGCCTTCCAGTGCTGCTTTCTGGGTCGGGTTCAGTCATAAGAGCAGTGGAACCCTAGCAGCTGTGGCTAGGCAGGCAGGTTCCCTTTCCTTGCTTGCTCCCCTGGGATAGCACTGGGTGAGATGTGGGGCATAGGGTGTGTGTGTGAGCTGGGAGGGCTGGGGGAGAATAAGGGGCGTCCATGGGCAGGGAGGAGATCTGAAGGGAAGTGGGAGGGAGGATTACCTTTAGGTGCTCCTGCCCCTGCTATCACTGTGGGGGAAGATAGAGCTAGGAGAAATGCCTCCTGGGATACTGGAGTACTGATCCTAACTGGTTTTGTGCCTGCTGAGCAATCACAAGTGACTTCAACATGAGCTGTCCAAAAACCAGTTAAAGATCATCACCTTCCATCAAGGATTATCTTTAAGCTGCTCAGAGATCCTGGGATGTGCTTTTCTGCCCTAACATGTGGACACTCCTGATTTAAGGGGCCTTAGCATGTATTTAAGTTACAGTATAACAACATCCTATTATACTTACTCATTCAGTCTTCTCTCAACAGAGCACCCCAGTTTTTCACTATGACTAAGCATGTGAGAGGATATCTAGAGTTGACATTAATAAGCTCAGCGTTATCAAAATCAGCAGAAACAGACTGATTTCGACATGCTCAATATCCTCCCGTAAAGGGTTTAATCCTGTTCCTATTAAACGAAATAGGAAAAGCCCCATTGACTTTAATGTTGTAAAAATCACATCTTATAGTCACAATCAAATGAAACTAGTTGGTAAATTATCTGCAAACAGGTACAAATGTGTAGGAATATATTTATTCAGCAAAATTATAAATCACTTATGTAAACAATTTTTAATTTATGATTTCTCATTAACTGCATTATTAGCATACGTATTTACTATTCACAAAAAAAAATCGTCTATTACCATGTATTTGGTCACTTAGGTTCTCTTGGATGAAATACACTCATATATCATAATTTCTTGATTAGATGCTTTAAGATTTGTGAACCATTTCCATTTCTGCCTGAAATGGCATTTTGCCATGTCATTAATTTTATTTCTCTATCTATTAAGGAAATCTTTATTATAGCCTGATTTACTATTCTGTGTAACTATTTACTTCTGGAGGGGCTGGATGTGTTCAAGTCAGCAGGTCCAGATGCTCTCCACTCCAGGGTTCTGAGGGAATTGGCAAGGGTTATTGAGGGGCCCCTGGCTTTACGAGCACTCGTGGTGCTCTGACCAGGTGCCAGATGACTAGAAGAAGGCCACTGTAGTCCCCATTTTTAATAAAGGGAGGACCCAGGCAACTATAGGTCCATTAGTCTTACTTCAATCCTG